GGTTTGTTTTATATTCAGAAGAAATATTGAAGCAATCTTTTTGGGAAAGTTTTTGTCTGGTTTTTGTAGCAAAATCATACCAGTCTCAGAATAAGCAGGGAAGTGTGTCCTCTGCTTCTATTTTTGCACAAGTTTGTGAAAAATTGGTATTAATTATTCTTTAAATGTTTGGTAGAACTTGTAAGTGCATCCATCTGGACCTAGGAGTTTCTTTTTGTGCAGTATTTAATTTTTAATTGCTATTCAATCTCTTTTTAAAGATGTCTTCACATTGTCTATTATTTCTTAAGTCAGTTTTGCTAATTTGTGTCTTTAGGAATTTGCCCATTTCGTCTAATTTACTAATTCATTGGCATACAGTGAGTTGTTTCTAGTATATTCTTTAATAAATATTATTCCTGTAAGGTCAGTAATAATTAACCTTTCTTTCACTCCTGACTATAGTAATTTGAGCCTTCTTTATTTATTGCTATTGCTTATCCATTTTGTTGATCCTTTCAAAGAATCAAAGTTTTTTTTGTTTTGTTGATTTTGTTTTCCTGTTTCACTAATTTGTATCATAATCTCTTACTTCCTTGCTTCTGCTAACTTAGTTAACTCTCACTTCCTCTTATTTTCCTAGTTTCTTAAATTATTATGTTTGGTAATTGGAGATCTTTTTTTAATATAATTATTTATAGCTATAAAATTTCTTTTCTGTACTGCTTTAGTTGTATCCCATAAGTTTTGGTCTGTTGCATCTTCATTTTTATCCATCTAAGTATTATTTTATTTCCCTTATGATCTCTTCCTTGACCTGTTACTATTCACAAATATATCAGTTTCCAAAAATTGGTGAATTTCCCAAATTTCTTTGTGTCACTAATTTCTAATCATTCCTTGTATTCAGAGAAGATACTGTGTGTATTATTTAAATCCATTTGACTTTATTAAGTTGTTTTAAATGAATGTATGTACCATCCTGGAGAATGTTTTGTGTGTACTCTAGAAAAAAACGTTCAGCTGCTGCTGAGTAGATTATTGTAGATACGTTTGCTGTAGTTGGTGTTGAGTATTGGTCAAGTCTTCTAGTTTTCTGTCTTCCCGGTTGTTCTTTCCTTAGTGAATATGAGAAGTTCAGGTCTCCAACTATCATAGCTGAGTCATCTGTTCCTCTCTCCATTTCTGACCTTTCGCCATGTCTTTGGGGACTCTGCCCTTACATATTCACTCCTGCTTGACACATCTTCCTGATGAATTGAACCTTTTATCATCATGCACTATCCCTTTTATTTCTAATTATATTTTATGCTTTATATGTCTGATCTTCATAGAGCCAGTCAAACTTTCTTCTGGTTACTGTTTGCATGATGTGTTTTTCTTGTGGTTGCTGTTTGCAAGGTATGTTTTCCTATCCTTTTATTGTCTGTCTATTTGTATATATGAATTTATTTTTCTCCACATTTTTATTGGCACATTATAGTTGTACATATGCTGGGATTTGTTGTTACATATTCATATGTGCACAATATAATTTGGCCAGTATCATTCCCCAGCACTTCCCTCCTCCTTACCTTTCTTCTGTTCTACTGATCTTCCTTCATATATATTTAAATTTAAAATAGTGTCTTTAGGCAGCATTAAGTCAAATCTTGTTTTTATCTTCATTGATAATCTTTGACTTTGGATTGTTTAATCCCTTCACATTTAATTGATATTGTTGTACTTGGATTTACATCTGCCATTTTACTTTTTTCTATCTCATGCTTCTTGTGTTCCTCTGTTGCTCTTCTAGTACTCTGCCTTTGCAGTAAGTGAATATTCTGTAGTGTAGCATTTTAATGTTTTTTTCTCACTGCATTCAAGTTACATTAATAATTATTTTAGGGCACATGCATCTTAATTTATCTGAATCTATTTATAATTTTTAACAGTTTTACAAGCTATAGAAAGATGTCTCCTGAATAGCTCTTATTCTTTTGTACCTTTTTTGCCTCTTACTGTTATACATGTTTTATATATACACACATATATAATATATGTATATAAGTCCAGTGGTCTGTTCTAATTATTACTTTGTATCAATTTGTTCTTAAAGAATCTGGGAGGAACAAGTGCCGGTTTATAACTTCTTTTATATTAACCTTCATATTGTCCATGTATTTTCTCTTTACTTGTTTTAAATAAGATCTTCTTCAGCCATCATGCCCTGCTTAACAACAGGGTACCCTCTGAGAAATGTGTTATTTGGCAATTTTGTCATCGTTTCATAATCATAAAGTGTACTCACACAAACTAAGATGGCTATGATGTCACTAGGTGATGTAATCTTATGGGACCATCATATCTGTGGTCGGTCATTGACCAAAATGTTACTATGCAACACATAACTGTATATCCAGTGTCAGCCAAAAAGACAGAGAAAAGGTTATATGGATTTTAGATTGTGCATGGCACAACTAAGGGGTACCATTCATATAGCAGTGGTTTTTGTATATATTTAGTTTGACAATTTATTGGCAGATGGCCAAAAATGTCTTGTCTTAATGATTTCAGTAACAGTTTTCTAGGATCTGGAAATAAAATGTCAGGAAGAAGGGGGTTTTTCTGAATCATACAGAGCGGAGTGTGATCCCTAGTGGCAGCCCCACGAGGGTCTGGAACTAAGAGATTGGGTGGTGCTCTGTCCTCCATTCACTCAAAAGGGAATCAGCAAATGAGTAAGCTTGATTGCAATGCCTACCTCGAAACAAGCATAGGTTTCTTTACCATTCACCTGGCCTCAGCTGTGTAGTTTTCCCAGACAGATTACCATATGGTATCTTCCATGGACAAGCCAAACAGGGTAGGGAAAGTTCCTTTTGTGCCACAAGTATGAATCCAAGAAGTGGCAGAGAATACCTGAGATCTTACCACACCTGGGCATTGGCCTTGGACCAGTGGTCCCACCAACAGGTCAAGCCCAGTGAATCCCAGACTCTGGCCAACCAGTCGAGCCATCCATTCTCTTCCCAGCTTTTCTCTGAACACATTGTTCACACTAGACTGTGAATTTCCTTCTCAGTACAGGAGACCAGAGCCACATGTCAAGGGGGATTCTGTTCCCACCAAGGGGAGACCATGTTCCCAGCACTTGCCACAGCTCTTTGGGCATCTTCCCAAGGATGGTGAGGTATAAAAGTTCATCTTGTTATTCTAAAACATCAGAAACAGGTCCTAACTTGGCAGGAGGTTAATTTACTCTATGGCATTTAAAGCACTCAGAAAAATTCACAACATAAGTGTTATTTCTTTGGGGGCAGGGGTACTAGGGATTGAACCCAGCAGTGCTCTCCCTCTGAGCTACATCCTCAGCCTATTTATTTATTTAGGGACAGGGTCTCTCTAGGCTGCTGAGGCTAACCTCAAACTTGCAATCTTCCTGCCTCAGCCTCCTAAGTCCCTAGGATTACAGGCCTGTGTTGCTATGCACAGCTGAGTGTTATTTCTTTATCCTTTTGATTTGCTGGGAACATGACATCTTGCAAGTCATGGACTTCCATTATTCATCAAATTAGATTATTTTATGTCCCCATTCTGACTTTACATTACTAGATAATTTCTGTGCTCTATTGAAACTTGGTAATTAAATAAATACCCAATGGAATTTACTATGATAGTGAAGTATTATGCTTATCTCCACTGCCCAGTAGTCACATGCAGCCAGTGAGCACTTGAAATGAACTTCTAAATTTTCATTCATTTTTATTTAATTTTAAATAGTCTCAGCTGGAGGCACTCAGATGAGATGCTCAAGTTATCATCTGAGATGTCCCTTTGCTTAATATTGTATGATTAAATCTTGCAAGGTACATTAAAAGGAAAAGCCCCCAAATCCGTGCATAAAGGTCTGTATGTAATAAAAGTCATGGACTGGGTCATGGAACTATATTATACAGAAACTGTCATAGATCTACCAGCCTTCCAAAAACTAAACTCTGACGTAAGCGAAATCTAGTATATACACATTGTGTGGGGACCATCAACAAGAAACAGGCAGCACAGAAAGTTCCAGGGGTCTGCCTGAGCTGAAGAGGAAGACCTACCTTCTGTGCTTCCATCTCCCTGTCTCTCATGAAGACTTCAGCAGAGGTGGGGGAGAGTGTTGTTCCTGCTTGTGGGGAAAAATGGAAGGAAAAAAGAAATCTTCAAAGCTGCAATTGGAAACATTTACTTTATGCAGATAGCAATTGAGTAAAAGGAATGAAACCCCCTACTGCTCAGTGTAGTACTTTTCAAAGAGCATGCTTGTAAAAGTTTTTACAGTCTTGCAGACTTTTCCCTGGGAGTCTTTGAAGTCAGGAGACAGAAAACATTATTAGGCTCCCTCCTCAGCGGGGCGTGCCTTTTATTGTTTTCCAGCACTCATTTTTCAGATACATGTGGATGAAAGCCAAGCTGCACACAGATAAAACAGACATAACCAGAGTATCTGTCCCCAGGGGGAAGCATGATATTAACAGGGTTATGGGAGATTTTTTTGTTTGTTTAAAACAATGTAAATGCTTAACTTGGGATCAGTATATATTAATGCCATTGTGATTTTCCCCTTCTCATATTAAAACATAACAGTAATATTTTACACTGTGATTTAATTGCCGCAGATACTGTGGTAACCTTATCCCAGCTGCATTCTTCTTTTTAATTCTGTTACCATTTCAATACAATGAAAGCCTGCACCCCAGTGCATCTGACATTTCACATTTCCTTTTCTCTGAGCTCATGGGAACTGTATAATCAGAAATAAAATAAAAATTTTAAAAAGAAATTATCATGTTCCTTCCCAGCCCATCATAGAATTTAAAAAAATGTCACTTTAGATGGATCTTGAAAAAATTACTTTCCCTCTCTGAAGGAAAATGTGCTGCAAAGAGAGAAGTTGAAAGTCACCCTAGCTTGACATTGTGAGCAAGAGCAGAGCCCACAGGTGACTTTAATTTTCCCGCAGGGGAATTAATGCTGCCTCATCCATTTGTCCCCAGGTCATAGATCTGTACTGGGGCGTTGATGAAGATGAATGGGACAGCCCTGAGCTCCAGAAGACACGCATGAAGCTGCTGGAGGATTGCTTGAAAACTTCTGCAGGTCCATGTTTTGTTGTGGGTATAAAAACACTAATGCTTTATATTAAACCCTAGATGAATGTGACTGACAGTTCTTGCCGATTTGTGATTCTTAAGGGGCTTCTAAAAATCATGAAAATGGGGGAGGGAATTACATATGTTTTAAAAATGTTAAACTGTCTCCTCACCCTCAACATGTGAGAACAAAACCTTCTTCAGCATTTCATAGGAAGCGCTGCAAATTAACGATGAATAATTTGAAATGTTAGCTGAAGGGATAGCTTGGGTTGATGATTTCTACACCTTGTGAGCAGCAGTAAGGATTACAGTTCAGTCCTAGAGTTATTAGCGTAGTTTTATCTTATCTCACCATTTAGTTTATTGCATTATGGTATTTCCGTTTCTCAACATTAGAATTTCTGGCATTTTTTAACAGAGTGGCTGCATAGTATATTGAAGTGAACAAAATATACTGTGTCAAATCCACCAGTACAAAATGGTACCCTGTGAAAGAGTTCATTTCTGTAATGACTTTCAAAGGCTCATTATAAGCTAGAGATTTTACAAGTGTAATGTCATTCATTACAAGTTCAGTATTATTTTCTGCAGAATGCTCACTCCTCTGGGTAGCATGTGATAGTAAGGTAAGTGAGTCGTTCTGTGGCAGGTAATTGTGTAAAACCACTGATTTGTTTAAGAACCTTGTCTTGAATCCAGACAGATTCTTCTAATCCATTGTAACAGGATGCTCTGAGGCTGGGTGGTTATTAATGAGGGCTATGAAGAAAATACTATATCATATCATTAAAAGCTAGAGACAGTATATCCATAAAAGGTTATTAACATTTATATACATATGCATCTATTTTCCTGTCCACATAGGATAGGAAATCCCTGCAGAGATGACTTCAGAAATCTGACCTGCTAATGTCAAAGTTTTTACTAAAAGAATTAAAGGGAGTATAGAGATTTTGTATGTGCCAGGAGCTATTGCTAGTACTGGGAGTATGGCAGAGTCACCCATGTAAAAATGTCATGTAATCCAGATTCTTATGATTTAACCTTAGACTTGAATACAGATAAAATTTCCTGTCCTCATTGAGCTTGCATTCTTATATGAATGAAAGGGGAGGCAAAAAAAAGAAAAGAGAAAAAAGAAACAAGGAACTAACTAAAGGAAACAATAAATCAGATGGTCATAAGTGCTATGGAGGGAAAATACAGAAAGAGCAGAGAGAATCCCAGAGAGGAAAAAGATTTACTATTTTCTGTAGAGCAGTTGGAGAAGGCTTCAATGATGAAGGTGACTTGAAGGACAAATGGGAAGAGAAACTGGAAAGCAGACTTACATTCCAGGGGAGGGGAAGGCTCTGCTTGGCTGCCTTGCCTAAAGGAAGAGCAAAGGCAGAGAATGGAAGTGTGGGCTTGTCATGGGCTTTGGAATCTTTTTTGTTGTTGTTGTTTAGAGATGAACTATCCATTTTGGAAAGAAAATTTCATTAAGACAGTTCTCCAATCTTGACATTGATTATAAATATTTAATTTTTGCTCAGAGTAACAAAGGAAGCCACAGAAGTGTGTTGAGCAGAGGACTGAAATTAGACAAGTCCCATCTTAAAGATGACTTTGGCTGTTGGGTGCAGAACTGGGCAGACCAGGCAGACCTTTAGAGAGCTTTGCAATAGCACAAATGTGAAATACACCCAGTGTAGGGGATTGGAAAATGAGCGTCTAAAAACAGTGACCTGTGTTCTCAAAGATTCAGAATAGGCCTAAAAGCCATGGTAATCATCTGAAGGAAGAATTAAAACACTTTCAGAGGATAGGACCAGGACTAGGGGATGGAAATTATAAGGAAGCCTCTTTCAGTTTTGGGTGAGGAAGTCAAAGGGCATAGCTTCCTCTCAGGTTTGGGGGTCACATGGCCCTGGGCTCTGATTGTCATAGTTGAGTGGCACTGGATGACTTATTTCACTGTTCTAACACTTAGTTATACCCTCCTCTACTTTTAGAAAAGGAAACTAACAAAGCTGTCTATAAAAAATATAGACCACTACAATGGAAGATGGCAGAGGTCACATTCCATCATGCTCCAAAAAGCCAGATGTGGAAAGCATCACAGGATGAGAAGACTCTGGGGTAGCTCATCTGCCATGATCTCCATAGCTGTATCTTAATTCAGCCTAAGAAGTTTGGGATTGAGAGAGACATTCTCCCCCTTTTATAAACCTGTAGACTGTCAAACTAACTAAAATTACTCTTGGCTGTTAACTCCAATAACTTGCTAGAAGGAGAAGGAATGAGTAATTTGTAGACTGCAAGTTTGTGCAGTTCTGAGAGTAAAAGCAAACTGATGGGGCAGGAGCAACAACTTCATTGCATGGAAACAAATCATCTGTCCCTCCTTCTGCTCCCTGTTTCAGGCTTAAACTCAGGGCAAACCACAGTGAAACCCTGCAGAGCAAGACAGGATTGTTCATCCCGTAGTCCCAACTACACAAGGCTTGCTCACTGCTTCTAGGAAAAAGTACACTTCTTCTGGCCATTCCTGTTGTAACTATGGTAACAGGCATGTGTGTATCTCTTTTGCACAAAAACTTCCTTGCCTAGTGCTCCTTTCCAGTATTTCTAAAAATCATAATGACCCCTGGGAAATGAAAAGCTGGGCATGTTACTTACCCTAATGCTAAAGTCTGGGCAAGAAAATTCACTATTACTAAATGAAAAAAAAAATTATAACTTAACAGATACTAGCCCTTTATGTTAAATACAGATGAATTCATGACCAAAGTTTTCATTTTAAATACCCAAGGAATGAGGTCCAGAGGGAACTTCAACTTAAGTATTATTTGTGCTTGATGCTCTTCAACTTTATTTTCTAAAGCATAATTGGCATGTGGCTGTGCTGGCAGTCCTACAGAGCAGTTTTCACACGTTTTTTGGTCACAAAGAGATAAGGTTCTAGAATAAGGGCACCTGGACATAATGTCAGATCCTGCTTGTGGAGAACTCGCTCAGGGGAGATCTCTACTGAGGGAGAACAACATTAGTATAAGGGGGGCAGAAGGAGGAAAAGCCCGGAATTTTGTATTTCACAGCCTTGGTGAAGGCCCTAGTTCTGACAGGCTGTCTACCACACTTTATCATATCCACAAAGGTGAGGACATAATAATGGTAAGCATAAAAGTAAATTTTGAATTAACTTCAAAGGTTTGTTGTGGGGATCAGATTGATCGTGTAGAGTTTTTGTGAAGTTTACAAAAAGTTACACAACCATTAGTTATTTTTAAACTATGATTTAGGTTATTCTTCAGTGAGAATGAAATTTTCACTCATATTGAACATTTATATGATATTGAATGTTTTCCCTTAAAAAAAAATGTTGGGATAGTCAACATGTAAGAAGGATTAAGACTTGATTCAGTCAAATATTAAAGTGTTTTAAAACTTCGTTCTTATGTCAATATTTTTTAAAAAGCTTTATAAAATGTATACAGTATATATTATTGTGCTAGATGCAAATTCACTGGATTTTCTGAATAAAATCTTTACCTGCTCCCAAGGAAGATCTTGACCAGGGCCGCAGTTAACAGGGAAACAGCTCCCAGTTGAGTCCAGAGTCACCACCTGCCTCATCTTTAAAGTGTAGAGAACTACCTCAGCTCATGCAGTGGGCCTCTCACCTGTCCCACCCCATAGACCATTTAAATAACCTATTGTAGAGCAAGAGGAATTCCACCTTTTGGAAAGAGCAGAGTCCCTGTAATACTGTCTCATCTCCATTGTTCTCTATGGTATGTACTTATGGGAAGAGGAAGTTTTCTTCTTGTTATCTCTCCAAATTTGGAACACCCCAAAAGAATTGCTTGTGGAATTAACTCTGAACTCTTGAGTGAGAACCTGCTTTTTGGCCAAAAAAAAAAAAAAATGATTTATCCATTTCAGGAGATTCAAAAAAGAAAACTAAATCTAAGGGAATTAGAATGAAAAGATACCCTCATCAGAATGCAACAGATTTTAAAATACTTCTAAAATTTTCCTAGTGTTCTTTGTACCTAAAGAGAAAAATCTGATATAGCATTTTAGAGCTGGAAAGGGCCTTAGTATCATCTAGTAACTAAGTGATCTAAAATACTGATTTTTACACAGAAAAAAAATGAAACCCAAGGAAGTGAAACAAATCAGTATTTCCTGAGCTCCTAAGATTTATATTTTATACCAACCCATTGAGGCAGCTATCTTTTAGTTCTGACATTGTGGGTGCTAAGATTTGAATGGTTTCTGCTTGAAGTCACAACTAGTGATATATAGAGGCGGGCTTCCAACCTAGGTCTCTTCAGTCACAAAGTCCACACTCTTCTATTCCAAGTCCCTAAATGTTTTTATTAGAAGCTGTGGTAAGGTGAAGAACCCAAGTCCCTCCACATATGGTAATGTCCTGTTTGTTTTCTTTGTGGCATTCTCTAGCAGTTGAGTGAGTCAGCAAGTAGCCACTGATCTAGTGTGCAGTGTACTTTTCTCTGGTGGGAAATAAAGCTGTGTTGCTCAAGGCTTTCTTAAGATTGTTTAAGTCAACTATTAAATTCTCTAATGAACCTGAACTTCTTCATCTCTTTTCCTTGGACAGAGAAACTTGAAGCTGCCTAAAATTTATGCTGGAAAAATGCCAAAAATGCAAATCATGGGCGGGGGAGAGTCATAAAGGTTTCTGAATTTTCCCCTTTGAATTTCCTTAGCATCTGCTCACAATACACAGTCCAGATCAACCAACCTGAGAGCTCAGTTTGGTTCTAGTAATGCATATTTCACGTGGTAGCCTAAAACAGCACAAGGAAATCTATGTAGTGCCCATCATGCTTGAGACTGTGCTAAGTTCTCTGAGGTGTAGGTAAGTAGCATACCACTTCTATGCACTTCAGCACCACCTAAACATAGGAAGAGAGAGGTGCAGTTAAATATGATATATTTTGGTAAGTGGGACAGTGCAGTGTTAGAACTGTGGAAGCCAAATGGAGAAGGAACAGTGTTCTGATTCTTGGCATCTGAGTGATGTTTACAGTAAGATTAAAAGGACTAGACCTGGGACAGAGGAGATGAGGTTACCCTGAGAGCCCAAGGAACAGCAGTTCCTGGATGTAGGTAGAATATAGAGTTAGTGACAAGGTGTTTTGGAACAAGAGACAAGAAATGTAGCTCTATCCGACCATCATAAATGCTTAAATATACACAGCAAAATGGGTGTTAGGGAGAAAGCTACAATTCCAACATTTGCAAAATCTAATGATTTGC